AACAGTTGAATCATGACAAGATCTGCAGAAGACCCTGCATGGCAACATGGGGTCAGACTTGATCCCAACAAGAAAGACAAAATTATTTGTAATTACTGTCAAAGACTAATAAGTAGTGGGGTACATAGGTTCAAGCAACACTTGGCAGGGGTTAAGGGAGAAGTTTCTGCATGCACTAGTGTCCCTAGTAATGTAAAAAAACAGATGGCGGCAATTCTTAATGCTAACAAAGGTAAAAAAATTGCCAAACATAGGATGAATAAGGAGATAGCTAGTTTATATACACCATCAAGCAGGAATGATACAAAAGAGCAATATAATACTGACCTAGAAGAGCAATATAATAATGAGCTGGACATGGCTACAATAGCTCAGACATGCATGGTGGGCCTAGCTCAGATATGCATGGTGGGCCTAGCTCAGATATGCATGGCGGGCCCAGCTCGAACATGTATGGCGGGCCCAGCTCAAATATGTATGGAGGGGTTGGTGGCAATATGTATCAAGGAGAATCAGTTGTTGAAGAAATTGTTTCTAGGTTACCTAGGAGTGCCAGTATTGCAGGTCATGGTCGTAAAGACCCATTTCTCTCAAAGCTTAAGTCACAACAGAAGACCCTAAAAGACATAGTTAAACGTACAAGAAACATGTTAGGGAGATATGTTGGTAAATGGTTCTACGATAAAGGGATTCCCTTTGATGTAGCCAATAGCCCATATTTTCCACCTATGGTCAGTGCAATCCAGAGAGTCGGGCCCGGGGTAAAACCCCCGACGGCATATGAGCTCAGTGGGCCAATATTAGATGAAGAGGTGGAGGAAGTTAAAAAGTGGATTGAAGAATATAAACAGAGTTGGCCAAGGACAAGCATTACTTTTATGAGTGATGGTTGGTTGAATAAAGTTAACAAAAAAAAATTTTAAACTTATTGGCTTATTCCCCAAAAGGTACAGCTTTTTTGTCTAGCAAAGGTGTATCAGGGACAAAGAAGGATGCAAACTTCTACGTACGACTATATGATCAGATAGTGGAGGAGGTGGGAGATAAGCATGTAGTCCAGTTTATTACGGACAATGCGCGTGCATGTGTTTCTACGGGCATCAAGTTGATGGATAAGAAGAAGCATCTAGTATGGACCCCGTGTGCTGCGATAAGAAGAAGCATCTAGTATGGACCCCGTGCGCTGCGCACAGCATCGATCTTATGTTAGAGGAGATCGGTGAGATCAAAACTGTAAAGAGACTCTACAGGAAGCAAGGTTGGTATCGAGATTTATATACAACCACTCTAAAATTTTATTTATGTTTAGAGAACACTCTAAGAAAAAAGAGATAATCAAGCCTGCCATAACCAGCTTTGCAACCGATTACTTAGCTGTGGACTCTATTCGCGAATCTGAAGGTGCATTAAAGCGATTGTTTACTTGTGAAGAGTGGTTAAATGACCGCCTCTCGAAGTCCAATACCGGTATAAAAGTGGACAACATATTCTCAAATAGCCAGTTTTGGTCTCGAGGTTCCAGTGTTGTAGAGGCCACTGCCCCTTTGGTCACGGTGTTAAGAATGGTGGATACTGACAAGAAAGCTACCATGGGTATCTTTTATGAAGGTATTGAGAGGGCGAAATCAGCTATTGGGGAGAAGTGTAATTTTGCTAGCAAAGTGATCGAGATTATAGAAAGGAGGTGGAACACCAAATTCGGACGTCCAATTCATTATACTGGTAAATATATATTTATATCATTACAATGTTTCAGTTTAAATCATTTTTTTATGAAATTGTAAATGACATTTTTCTACCTATATATTTTTTAGGTTACTACTTCAACCCAAAATTTTTCTATTTGATGCCTGAACAACCTCACAAGATTATGGAAGGGGTCAGATACATTATTGCAAGGTTGGAGAGAAGCCATCGAAATCAAGTAGCAACAATACAAGAGGTATTATTTAATGTTTGGGTAAGAACTTCATTGAGTTGTTATATTTGTGAGGAATAATGCACTAAAACGTAATATATTTGTTTTAGCTTGCCATGTATAGGGATGCTATAGGATCCTTCGGAACTAGACTTGCCAGAAATTCTCGAACTATGATGGATCCAGGTTATCCCCTTGCTAATATTTTGTTCATTCATATATATAATCTTATGAATTGTTCTTGTCCTTACAATGCTTTTTGCATTTTAATCCAGCTGAATGGTGAAAGATATATGGTACTGATGCACCTCACCTAAAGATGATAGCAATCAATGTGCTCTCCCAGACATGTTCTGCTACTGGCTGTGAACGCAACTGAAGTACGTTCCAATGGTTGCACACTACTAAGAGGAATCGACTCGCTTCTGAGAAGCTTCATAAACTAGTCTACGTTCATTATAATTTAAACCTCAGAGAGCGATAAATAAGAAGGAAGCTTGAAGACTATAGGCCGATAGACTTAGACACAATATTTGTCAAAAACACAGCAGACCAATCGGTAGTAGAAGAGGAGGAGCCAGTGTTGCACAAGAGAGCGTTCCTTGAGGCTATAGGTGATGAAGATCTTGAAGAAAGTGATGAGCAACATGAAAGAGGAAGCAACCAGCCAACGTATCCACAATTTATCGAAAATGTCGGTGATATTGCACCTAATGAAGGAGAGTGGGAAGGGGGTCTAAGAGAAAATGAGAGAGATGATGATTCTGAGACCACCCTATCCCAGCCATATTATTCACATATCGAGTCCCAACAGCATCAGTGTAGGGATGAACACGACAGTGCAGGTGAGCATGAAGGATAGACAAGCTTCGGGGATTTTGGATTGAAAACACAACAAAACACTAACACTAAGGGATTTGAGAATAGTCAGACGCCTGCTAATATCGATGATTCGTTTTTAGATCAAATTAATGAATTGTCAAACGAATTCAATCAATGGCATCAGCGTGACCAAGAAAAACAACGTCGTCGTCTATCATTTTATTTTTAGATCGTATGTTACTAATTTTATGCTTTATTTGTAGTCCATGTATGTTGATATACTTATTCCATGATAATTCTATGTTTATCCTTTTGTGTAATGTAAATTAAATGCTGAATGACAGTTCATGCAGGGAAAGAACATATCAATATTCGCATATTCATTCAAAAACATGAAAATTCTTAATGGAGTACCCTTATTTCTTATTGAATTCTTAAAAAACAATATTTATAATGAATTTTAATAATTTTTTCGAATTGTTTTGAAGCTTTATTCTGACCGATTCACCTGATTCCCGATCCGGATCGCCGATTCGTTGATCCGGATCAATTTTTTGGATGCCCGATCTGAGTCACCGATCCGTTTTTTAAACCATTGCACTGAACAATATATGATTTGCGTCCTCTATTTTGTAATAACTGGAAATTATTGAAGTTGCACAAATGGATGTGAGTGCCTCATTGAATGAATTTCTTTTTTCTTTCTTGCTCTCCATCAGTAATTACCAAATCTAAAAAATAAATTCTGGGAAGAGAGAGAGAGAGAAAGAAACCAGATGTCCAGACTTCAAACATTGTGTTTACATCTTCATGTATTTACTCTTGAATCATTACCATACAACACAATCACCACATTCACCACACGTCCATTACAATACTGTATTTTACCAAAAACTGATTCTTTACTGTCCCCATTTCCATACAACACAATCACTAGATTCACCAGACAAGTCCATCACAAAACTTCATTTTACCAAAAAATGACTCTTTACTGCCCCATTTCCATACAACACAATCACTACATTCACCACAACTATGAAGCGTGAAACAAAAAATGGCTCTTAAACTATAGCAAGGAGCGTGTAACAAAAAAATGGCTCTTGAATCTTTTGAAAAAATTTACCGCATTTTTTGTGGAGCACCTTGTCAACCTGCAACAATAAGAATAATCTTGATCTATTACACACTAAAATAGAGGAGAAAAGCCTTGAGCTTTTACCAAAATACACCGTGATAAAAGCATGAAACACATGGAGGGAGACTGATGAGAGACATGCAACATACAACATGCACATACATCCACATATACAACATGAAAGAAAACATAAGTACATAAAATATTTCATACATAGATGCATAATACATAATGCTGCTTACCATCAATGCTCGTGTCCCACGTTCTTACGGGACCAAATCTTACAGTGGACTTTGGAAATAGCTCTGTAGTAAGAAAAGAAATTGCAATATTAGCATATCATAACGCATTCACAATGAGTAATATCACATGGAAATTCTAATACATCTAGATTGAAAATCTTATACACTTAAAATTCAAAAGAATCTAAAGGTATGAATTATTACTTTTCACGAACGAATGATGGACAATTTCTTCTGTCATGCCCACTGCCCTGGCAAACTGCGTATTTCCTAGACTTTTACATTGGCTTCCATCCCTCTGATCGAGCTTTTTTTCTTACATTTGTCGGCTGTCCCTTTGCTCGTGCTGGTCGAGGATCAATGACATTTTGGCAGTTGTAACTTCCATTTGATGTGTCACTACAACTAGCAGTACTCCTCTCATCATTGACTTGGCTCATGGTGTCAACTTGTGGACGTTGCTTACAATCGAATTTACCATCAACCTCTATGATATCATCGTGTATTAAAAGATATTATAAATTCATGAACCTCCGCACTTATTGATACACGCTCAACGGGCTATCGAACAACCTGCAAGACATCGTTATATCGAATGGGGCGTGGTAGTGCAAATGTATCATGAAGTTGTTTGCCACTTTCATCAACAAAAATCCCCCGCTTCTGTCCTTCGACCAACGCCTCATTATGTATTGTGGAGGGATTTCAAAAATATTTTCATCATAAAAATCTTCAACACATGCCTACAAAGAAAACCCATCATCTCATATAAGTGACAATTGCAAGAAGCCATCTTCTCATGGGATTAAATCCCACCAAGTATGATCTAGATCCAATTCCCATATCTGCCACCTAAAAGGTGGCAAGCTGTCCATTTTCATCAACTAACTCAGTCATAAAATTCATACAATTGGCAACCTCTTCCACAAATATCTTCAAAATCTTTCGAGTATAGATATTATATGCCTGTGACTCAAATAAAGAAGTTGTTTCTAAGATTGGAGTAGTTGTAATATCTTTTAAGTCGTTTTGCTTTTCTTTTCGTACATTCTTATCTTGCACCTTTGCACATATTTCCAATAATATACGTAAGCTTGTTTTGGATGTCAAGTGCATCTTGAAATGCTTATTCATCCTTTCACTTCTTTGGATAGAAGCCATACCCTATTTAGCCATTCATAGCTTTCCAACTCATATTTCTTAATAATTAATTTTCATCCCAATTCAAATTCCTCTACTGTTGGGCTAGCTATACAACTCTTGAAGGTATCATGCGCAAGACATGACATAGTTTTTCTTTAACTTTTGAAAGTATATGCCACTTACAGTAATGATGCTCACTCTGGTACAAAACTTGTCTCACTGTGGCTGAAATTGCATGGTCTTGATAAGTGAGAATAACACTCGGTTGTTGTCCACCCATTGCTTGTAACTAATTTTCAAATACCCAGACAAATGATTCTACCTTTTCATTAAATATGAGTGCAAATCCAAAATAGGTTTTACTGAAATAGTGATTTACACCAAGTATGGTTGCAAAGGACATACTAAAACAATTTGTTTTGAATATGGTATCAAATGTAACAACATCAGAGAAGCATTGATAAGAAACTTTACATGTGGCTTCTACCCATAAGATGTTGAGAACGTGATTGTCTTCATCTAATTTCAATCTATAGAAAAAAGATGGGTTCGATTCTTTCATTTTATAGAGCCATTGTATAATTAGATTACCATCTTCTCCTCTTAATTGTCTTCTGGCACTAGCAATTTCATTTTCGATGTCTGTTTGTATACATGTGACATTCTCGATCTCTCCAGCTTGCTCTATAAATATATCATGAATATGTCTTAGCTTAACCATTGCCGAACTCATTGAATTTATCATCAACTTTGTAGCACTAGACAATGTTCGATAGCTACAAATTAGACAAGCTTTTCTTGGACTGGCTAGATTGTGATTGTGATCATCAATAAACCTAGTCACAACCCACTTGTCGTCCGCTTTTCTACTCAGTCCCAACTTAGCCTTATACCCACACCTTGATTCAGGGAGTTCTTTTCCACTGACCTGATCTTTTACTTTGCGAAATCCTTCCTTAGAGCAATTAATTTTTCTATCGATCCTTTGACTTTTTTTTTTATTATGGGTAGTGCCCTTACGGATGTCAAAACATTTGGCTAATGCATAAGCCTTATAGTAGTCAATTGCATCTTCCTCTGAAGAAAACTTTATTCCTACACGGCGTACATTTGTTTCTGGGCCTTTGGTTGATGAGTCAGATTCTCCATCTTGCATTTCTATGAAGTTTCTAGGAGGGGTTGCAAGATAAGGAACCTGCTCTTACAATTGCGCAAGTGGGAGATCATACACAATCTGAAACGGTGTGATCCATCTAAGTTTTTCAACTGACCCTACATAAGAAGACAAACTATATAAATATATGTATTCAAACCTTTATATAAACATAACAACACTCCTAGTAGACTAGATAGCCCATTTGTTAACTATTCAAATTTTATTGCTTTCATTATAGAATCAACCATATTCGAAGCAATTGTAGACAACAGGGGTGACACCCTTATTAATGTGAACTTAACTCTCAAATTAATGTGTACAACATTTAATATATCAAAATGTGCTTACAATGGCACATGGATAATAAGGCAACTGACATTTAACATCAGAATTTTCTTGTAGTAGCATATGGATAATAAAGCATGCAAACACAAAAATTAGAGGGAAAAAATACATCAGTAGAAGGATTTGACAAGGCAAAATACCCAACTACCTAGAAAAAGTTTTTTAAAGCCGTACCTGAATGGTTCTATGTAGCATAGGTTGTACCTCTATGTAATGTTTTCTCAATAACAAAATGGCTTAAGAAAGTAAGTTCCAGACTACTAGATAAGAAATAGAGGCCTTTGATAATTTTCCATAAGAATAATTAATAATTTCATGCATTAACAGAAGTTTGACTCATTTTCATAAAAAAGCCATCCAATTTGATCTATAAATTGCATTTGATTGTATATGATAGACACAATTTCATAATACATTCACAATAAGTAAAGAAATTCATAATACATTCTATTGATGCTTATGCAATTAAAATCCAAAAGGATATAAAGGTATGAATTACTGTTTATACATAACCCATTATGTAAAAGGAGAAGATATCCACATAAAAGAAGAAACCCAAGTATTGGTGCCATTCAATCTTTTAATTGTGTAGAGAGAGAACACAAAAGCAGCAGCAGCAGCAGAGCTGAAATACAAGAACCCAATAACACCCAAAATACAAAACTCATACATAATTCTAATAAACACACCAATGAAATCAAAATCATAATAAAAAACAAAAAAATCAGAAGAGATCACAAAAAATGGAACATCTGACTAAGAAACAAAAACAATAAAGAAACCTAAAAAAAGCCCATAACAAAATAGAGCTTTCCATACCTATTTCTGCGATTTGGATGTTTATACTGTGAGAGAGGGCTCTAATGTTGCTGCTTCTTTTGCAATTTTGTGTGAGAAATGGCTGCCACGATTAGAGGGGTTGGCCTGCAACGATAGAGATGGGGTTTCTCTGTGAGAAATGGCTGCCACGATTAGAGGGATTGGGCTGCGATAAGAGAGCAAATGGGTTTCGTACGCAGCTCGCGTAGGGATGGTCTGTGACAAATGGCTACCAAGATTACAGGGATTGGGCTGCAAGGAGAGAGGGTTTTGTAGAGAGAGAGAGATGAGATGCCCTATGAGAAATGGATTTCGTAGAGAGAGAGGCTGAGAGAAACCAGAGAAGTGAAGGGCACATGAGAATAGTTTGGACTTTAGAGAGAGATTGCAGCATATGAGAATCGTTTAGAGAGAGAGATCGAGGAGAGAATGGAAGTTTGGGGGACATGAGCCAGATGGGTTTTTATGGGGGAGGGAGGGAGAGAGAGAGAGATAGAGGGGGCTCGCCGAGGGATGCGTAGATTTCATCTGCAGTTTAGGATGATGTTCAGCTAAGATTTGCTCATTTAAAAGGGGGGTGGAAGCAGAGGGCAGAGTGAGAGATAGTCTCACAGGTGGGATGAAGCAAGAGATCTGAGAGAGATGTATAGGGCAGGCGGGTTGCGTCAGGGGCATTAAATTCGGTTTTTGAGAGCATCGAGAGAGAAATGAGAAAGGCAGCATCCATACCGTTGGTTCTTCCCATGAAAATCGTGGCCCTTGGGCGTATTTAGAAGGCATACAGGAGGAAGCGTACATCATCTTTTTCCATACACATATATATATATATATAAAATTTATATAGGGTGCGGTTTCTATACGGTTGCAATCGAGACTGTTGAAGTTGGGTTGCAATCATTTTTACTCTCCATTCGATAGACGGCGAGGATTATGCACAGCGCCCAATAAAAAATAACTGGGGCTTCTTGTCGCCGGCTAACTTGACCCCACAAAAAACCATTTTAGCTTTTTTAAAAAGAAGCCCAACTCCACTTTTCTTTCTTTTCTCTCTAATATCTTCATCTACCTACAACTTTTTTATCTCTCTCTATCAACTTCTCCATCTCCATTGGATTCTCCTATTTTCCCTAACACTCTCACTTTCTCAAACTTCTCACTCCGAACCTCGTAGCCTTTCCTCTTCTCTCGAAGAAAGAAAGCCTAATCCTTAATCAAAATAAAGAAGATGAATCATTTTGTTGCAAAATACTATCTCTCTCTCTCTTTCTAAAATACAGGATGGGTTTTTTCTCTAGAGTGGGTTTATCTCAGGACAAAATATTTCTCTATGATTGGAGTGGATTTATCTAATGGGGTGATGTTCTACTTTGCTCCTACTACCCTAGTTAAGCAGTTTTGGCCTTAGCTGGATGCCTGCTCAGTCCGTTATAAATTCATTCCTTCTTCTTCTTTAGCTATGAATGATTTTCAGGCCAGTCCTAAAGAGATGGCTTTCAATTATTCTTCCATGCCACTGCAAAGTATGTTCATAACCATCACCATTATAGGGTTTCCTTGTTTTCTTTTTTCTTTTAATAGAGAGAGGTTTCATTTTCTTTGCGACCCAAATGGACCAAAATATGTGGTATTCCTTAGTTTTTTTTGCTTTTTTATATTTGCCCAAGTTAAAAGAAATGATTCAATTGGCATGGGAGGATTGATATAGGTAACCAGAGTTTTTTTTTTTTGACTCCATTTGGGTGTATTTCTCTTTCAATGTCCTTTTAGGTCTTGGATGAGCAAATGGATAGTTGATTGTCTTGCTTCCATATTAAGATAATTTATGTGCTCTATTATGGCCTCCATTTATGTGTATGACATTTTTCACTTCTTTAACTTGGTTGAGCAAAGGGATGTATGCCTATAAATCCTCCATATTAAGACAAAGGCCCTTTAGAGCAATATATCTTCATACAACAATAGTGAAATATAACCTTTTTATTTTGGTTTTCCTTTTTATTCTTTTCTTATTGTAGTGAAGAATGGCCTGTTATTGTTACATGATAAATGTTGAAGTAAATTTGATCCAAATGATATGGGGAACGATTTAATTCACTTACTGTGTAACCTCTTGAGAAGGGTTGGTTTGTTGGTGACTTTAAATTGCCAGCTATGAGTATCCATGATGGGGTAAAAACTATTTGGTTTATCTTTCTTCTCTCGCTAGATTTAGTAATATATTTCAACACAATGGGAATGGGAATTTGGGCGAGGCTGGTAAGTGATAATGCTTTTTCCAATTTTGATGTCAAGGAATTCAAATGTGGTTCCTAATGGGCATGTAAATGCTCATTTATTCCCAAATTCTTGTTCAAGTAATTCTGCTTATTTTATTTTAGTAGTAATTCAAGTAATTCTTATTCAAGGAGACCTTTATTATAAATTTCAAATGGTTAACCTAATCAGCGAATAATTCAGATGGGTTTGCTGAATTTTGATCCTTTCATATAAATAATGCAATTATTCACAATCAAGTTATATGAATTCGTTAAGTTGTTATGGTTGGTATTATGAAGTAATTCCAATGTTTTATACTTCTATGTGTTCACAAGCTTTAAGCAGCTATATGTTTCTTGGTGTGCATGTAACTGGTTATTTGGATACTCACTCATTTTAATTCCAGTAATGTGTTTCTTTCCTTTTGGAGACCATTCAAATAATTATTACAAAAGCAAATTTTTGTTCTTAATTTCAAGTTGTTATATATTTATGAACAACATGTTGGTAATTCACTTATTCACATGGATGTGCAAAATATTTTGTTGACAATATGAACTAGAGACACTTTTACTTTTAATAAAAGAAGAAAAAACTAAGTCATTTTATTTTGATCCTTTGTGTTGTGTTTATCAGGCCTTTGTGGAGATTCATTCCAGAGGATAAGAATTCGAAGCTAAAGCCATTGATCTCAGACCTCTCCTCAGTATTACCTTTTGAGCCTAACTAATAGCCTAAATATGTATGGTGGCATGAGCCTTGAGGATTTTTCAGAATTGTTCAGACGGTGGTGGAATGCCTTTTGCTAACTGCCAACTTAGCCAATCACAACCACCCATTAGCATCAATGGCTAATCTAACCAAAGCAAGCACATCTTTTCCTTACTTGACATGATTTGGGTAAGATCTCAATATGCAAGTGACATGCACAAATCTAGCATGAAGTGTCTCCTTAAGTAGTTTGTGGTAAAAGTTAATCGATCGATGTCACGTTAGGATCTTCATTTGTACTCTTAAGTATATGTTTAATCATTAAGGGCTATGTAGTTCATGTTGTTTTCATTTGGTTATCTATAGGGTAAAATTCTGGTTAATAATCCCCAAGGGGTTGAATAAGAGTGCATCCTTTGTTTTGTGAACTTTATTATTCTTATATGTTGTATGTTTCACTTCTTTCATGCATTTTTGTTTTTTGGTTACATAACTTAGGGGAGAGAGAGTGAGAGAGAGAGAGAGAGAGAGACACACACACGCACACAACACATTTGGTATCTATTGTGATGAGAGAGAGGGAGCATTTGGTATCAATCGTGATGAGAGAGAGTGTGTGGGAGGATTGCTTACTACGCATCCCACATCCCAACAAATTTGTTGCATAAGTTGGGACCTAAAATATGCTCATTTGTAAAAGAAAATGAACAAGACAAGATATATTAAAATTGAGTAGATACATTAACCTAGTACATTAGACCCACTAATATGCTCATTTTAAGGTTAATGGTTGGACAAACTTGCCCTTGATTAAGAAAAAGCTTGGACAAAATATTCAAACTTTCCTGATTTAGAAATGCATTAGGGAAGTTATAAGTTGCATTGTCAATTTATGTAGCGGTAGGTCCCATGCATCAAATTATGCAGTAGTAGGTCCAATATGTCACATCTTCTTAACATAAACAATGACAAATTACCATGAACATTATCAATAGCATATGTTGAAGAAAGGCTATGTTTTTCACAAAACGTCATCTTCCACACTTTTCCATGCATATCATAAGGGCTCAAATTTAATACCTATGTTTTCTACAGTAATCCATTCTCATATACATAGAAAATTATCACACACTTAAATACACACTTGCTTCTTACACAAGCTTCTTACACAAACGTCATACCTTGCAAGGTAGCCAACATCAGAACTACAAAAAAAATATGCAAGTAGATATCTAAAAAAATTTGTAATTACATATCAAAAAATCAATTAGATATCAAATTAAAGACCAATAATAATATTTCACAAGTTGGAGCTAAGTAACTAACTAAGATAAAATCGTTAATAATCATTAAACTTGAGTCATCAAAGTATTAAAGAAACAATAAATGATAGTTCAATTAGCTTTGAAAACCTAAACTCACAACTATGAAATATGATTGATCGTGTCTTGCACAATTATGCCTATCATGATCTGACTCCACAACCACCACACTTTCTCTTACTTGTTCTCTCTTCATTCCGAGGTTTGATTATCAAATGGTTAGGTGGTCGTCCCTTTGGCTTTGCACAAGTTGGAGCCTTTATAGTCATATGTGGATGGAAGCCACGGAGAGGGTGGGATCCACACAAAGGGCAGGTGTTCCTAAGGACATAGGGCTACTAGGGGTAGGAGAGACTTGTTTTGTGGAAGCTTTCTCTTTGTCCACTCTAGCAGCAGCCTTGTCGCATGCCTCATCTATAATCATCTTTGCGTATTCATATACACTAGGACTCACGACCCCATTAGCTAATAGCATGTTGCACTGTTGAAATAGATCATTGCAGCACATGGAATAGGCATCCTCACGATTGGCTCTTACTAGAATTCCAAAACCATCATGAGCAACCCCCATTGTCACATCGTTTGTCCATTGCTTTACTATACAGTATTGGGGTAACTCAAAGATATTTTTAAAACAAATACCCTAAGTATATGACTACAAGGGACACCCATGCTCTCATATAGATGGCAGCTACATGTTACTTTCTTCTCATTATTACTAAATACAACTGTGTGGGCAGGGTAGCATGCCCCATATTCTTTCAGACTGAAAGTGCATATCATCCCATCATCCTCTTGCACTTCACAAGTAAGATCAGTGGCCTTATCAACTCTAGCTGAAAGAAGTTTTTAAAGATATTTGGGGTGTAAATTTGAGCTACTTGCCTCTCCATACGGGTCACAATCTTCATAGCTGGTGTTTCATTACGAGATTTGAAGTCTGCACTGTTTTCCTCATCAAAGTTTTTATCAATTAACTCTTGAAGTCGGCTAACAAATGTAGTCAAGTTAGTATGGGAATTTATATCTGCAGAGAAGCAATCTTGCAAATATACATCTATCCACTGGTGTCGAATTTCATATAGGGACTGCATCCAATCATTGTTCATCAATTCATATCTTTCTATCATTCTTTGCCACTCATCTTCAAATTCCATGATGGCGGTGCAATGGTCAATACACTTGTATAAATCTCCACGGAATGATGGATGTTTGCGCTCAACTTGCACCATTTTCTGGTCATTTTTTTGTGTAATATGCCATCTACACAAGCGATGTCGGGATTCCGAGAATAAATTTTTATTGCAAGGGCCATTGCCCTATTTTGGTTTATGATGATTGTCTTGGGTTGGCGTCCATTCATCACCTCGAGCCACTTTGTGAACAGCCATGTAAAAGACTCCTCATCCTCTCTATGGAGCAAAGCACATCCTAAGAATATAGTTT